TGTTAGTTCATTCAATTACAGCTTAATATGACGCTCTATTTATTTCTTCAATAATATTTGGGAGTCATTGAAATGTTACCTTTAAATGGTACAATTGTGGTACTATAAATAAATATAGAAAAAATTGTTAAAACAAGTAGAGATTGCAATAAAATAGAATGTCGAGTCTAACTCGACATAGGACTGCTAAGTATTAATGTACTTCTGACTTCTCTTTGATTTAGTTTCGAGGAGTATCGTCTTCGCCTCGTCAAGAAATGTTACATTGCGTACTGACAACGAGAAATCTCGTTTTTATATAAAGACACTTAGCTATGCGACTTTGGTAATTAGTACTTAGAAAAATATGAAATTTCATTCAAACTGATTATCTATTTAAAATACATTTCATAACCATATATCTGAATTTTTGTACGTATAGTAATATAAGTTGATCTCACTGAAAATTCCCATCCGAACAATTCAGTTTTCCGAAAAGTAGCCGGTACGCACTTTGTTAAACATTTCCAGTGAGAAACTTCCGAGCGCAAAGGGTTAACAATTCTGTTGAATATTTATTTGTAAAAATAAGCAGCACAGTTTGAAAAACTAAGTGTGTATTCATTAAAGTATGTATTACGGTGCTTTACAAAAACTGAAAAACGGAACGCTGTTCAACGGTTGAGCGTTCGCTACGAATTGCCGAACGACGCGGAAAACAAGACGCTCGGCGCGTGCAATAAAGATGGCTGTCCTCTGGAAAACAACTGACTGCGAGGCAGAGGACTGCACCAACGGATGCTTTGTAGCCATTAACCCTGGCGTACAATGACGAGTGAGACTCGTGATGAAAATTTCTTAACTAATTTAACAAGAATCAATGTTGTTCATTACCCACGGATCAAAGCAAACAACTATTTTGCTATTATCAATGTATTATCCTCAAATGAAATTTCCACCGGAAGTAGAATGAAAAATTTTCTTGTATTTCTTACAAATTGTCGACAGTAAAATATTAAACGAGCTTAGTAACGAAAGTAAATAGTACGCCAAGGAGTTAGAAATATACTTCAAAGCAACGCGTCGTACTTCACCACTTGGCAATGAGCGATCGGCGAAAGGTAGCGAGGGGGTTGGCCGAAGAAAAAATCCCGCCGTTTGTTTTGCAAAAGTCCGTCAGCTCCCCGGGGCAGCGTTCCGACGGATGGCGGGGCGAGAAATCATTAAAACTTCCCTTGCCAGCTACGCGGAGCGATGTCAAACGAAAGAAGGCCAAAGATATATGCAGCCCCCACCGAACTTTCCCACTGAACGAGATTCTTGGCTCGCCGACGACTACCCCCGCCCCGCGTCTTCCTGACTAAGCGGTAATTCCGGCCCCGGTGTCCGCCGGAACGGAAAGTTAACTGATAAATAGCGGCTAATACTTCACCGACTTCCGAGTCTGCAACAATTTTGGAGCCACTTAGACCGGTTTCTCTGGGAAAACAGCCAGGTCCCGCCGCCCACTGCTCTGCCCGAAAGGAGCGGATCCGGTGTCGCGCGCGGGACGCACGCCTCGCCACCGTTTTTGCGGCGGATCCTCTGGCGAGGACGTTGAACGATCGCGTTCTCGGCCTGGAATACTTCTTGCGCGTTTGTTTGATTTATTTCGGAGATGAACGAGGAATCGATGCGACACTTCTCCGGGATTTCGCGAGCGGGCAGCGTTAACCACTCGCGCTGGAAAGACGTGCGCGTCGAGACGTTTCTGTTGGAAAATTTTCGATTGTCTTTCACACGTTGACAATCTTGTTGCGTTACGTCTATTAGATTATCTCGAAATGTATTATAATTCGGTATTTTTTAGGAAATCATGGGATCAGCACCTTTTTTCAATTAGTTTGAGGAGAGGTTACGAGGAATTATTAACCCTTTGCACCCGAGAAGTGACTCTGAGTCACCACTTGATTTGACGCAACTATAAAGTTGAATATTCAGCCCTTTCCACTCCAAGAGATTTCTACCAGAAATACCCAATACCTTCTAATGAAATATAGTCAACATTTCACGAGACTAATTTAACGAGAAATCGTACAAAAATTAAAGAAAGAGGCTGTTTCGTTTTAATATTTCACATATTAATGTATCTTGCGAAACTTGTCATTACATATTATACGTCATAATTTTGCTGTACCAAATCGAGTGGCGATTGAGAGGCGCCTATGGAGTGCAAAGGGTTAGTATTCTGAATTAAACTTTGTATTGCTATGTGAAATATTTAAATAAAATAGCTTTGTTGCTCAATTTATTTGTGAATTATCGTTAAATTAGTTTCAAACAGTATCGTCTATATCTCGCTGAAAAATGTTGGATATTTCTAATGAACAACTTTCGAGTGCAAAGGGTTAACAAACAAAATTGTACATATCAGTGTAAAATAGGTATAAACAAAATTCATCGCCCGAGACATTGCCAAATCTCTGAATTCGTTCTGAATTCAAATGAATTCATTTCCAGCGGAAGTGGTTAAGGACGCGCGACTTGAAGCTTGGATATTTCGATCGTGAGACTGTTACAATAGGTTCGTTTAATATGTATATTGAAGAAGCATAAATATTACTTATGCACAATAAGTACGATATCATACATTAAATTCTTTCGATTAAATTCCAGTCAATTTCGCTTAACACTTAGGCAACCGCCTAAAAAGAACTAGAACCTCTCTTCCATATCTTCAATTGAACTTATTCGATTGATTCAGTTAAAAACTTTGTTTTGTAACAACATGAACCGTATTCGATGAGTTGCAAATAATCCCACTTCAAGACACACTGAACAACAAAAGAGAAGATAAAAGTGTAAAGTGGGAGATCCCATTCGGTTGTCTAAGTGTTAAGCTCGAACCCGAAATTCTCCGAATCGTTCCCCCGGAGCGATCTCGTGCAACTCGCTGCTGCAACAGTCACGCCGTTTGTTCCCTGATTTCCGAGCAACTGTTAGATTCCCGCGAAAAATGAGAGAACCACGCCGGGAAGCAAAAAGGAAAGGCGAGCAGGCAGAATTCGCGCTATTCGCGCGGCAATCAAATAGATTGCGGGCAAACGTCCGCCCGGCCGGAAAAAAGTGAAACACGCGACCAATAAAGATGGGTAACGCGTAGGCTGGCTCATCGAAAAGCAATCAGGAACGAGCGCGAGGACAGGCGGGTAACGAGAAACAGAGAAAGACAGCCGCGCGAGTGGAGAACAAAGGGGTTGGAACAGGGCGAGCGTTCGAAAATGCGCGTCGAGCTTCCGCGGGCGTGGATAATCGAACCGGTCGGTCGGTCGGTCGTACGGGGAGCAACAAAAAAAGGAAAATAAAAATAAAACGTGGAAGGCAGGAAAAAAGGAACGCCGGGAACTTTATCCGCGACATGAATACTAATTGGCGACGGGTGACTCCCGACCGGCGGGGGCGCGAGTTGGGATCGGGACGCGGCGGTGTCGCACTTTTCGAAAGCCCGCCTAATTCGGCCCGATGTCATTAGCGTCTGTGATTCGCCGATAAATTATTCAGGGTAATTGGATTCGGGCCAGGCATAAAATCCGCCGGGCGAAATCGTCGAGCGAGAGAGCCTCCGGCGCGTGTGCGCGCCGACTCCACCGGTAAATGGGACGAGCGGCGCGCGCGAGGGTGGGTGGGCCGGAACTCTCACGGGAAACGTTTCGCGCGCGGACAAATAGGGGAGAACAATCAGGATCGGTGTTCGCTATTTACCGATATGACGGTAGCTTATCGTCGGGCCTCTGTGTGCGCGAAGGCAACGCCGCTGAATCCCGTCGAGCGCACGGGGGAGCACGTGCTGATCGGTAATCGTCAAACCGGATTAGGCGGAACTGGATTCGAAGCTGAAAATTGAGCTGCAGATGGAGAATTAGGGGCTGGTTGCTCGTCATTCGCGATCACGATATGGTATCGGGTCTAGGGATTTCGTTAAGCGCGGTTTCGATAAGTGGAAGTTCTTCGATCGGCGGCCCTTGCGAATGCGCGGGATTGATATTGTCGAATGTTCCGAGGGCGATCGGGCTCGGATGCCGTTGCTTTCGTGTTACTTGGATAATGGAGTTAATGTTAACACGCTGAACGCCGCACGATTTCATAGAGCAAAATACGCGAAATGGAAAAAATACAATATTAAATCATTTGACTGAATTGGATTATTATCGTTGCACGTTCATCGAACTGAATGTCACCGCAATGGGTAGCATTATTTATAATATAGAAATGTTTGCGAATAATCATCGTTTAATTAAGTGAATTATAGTAACTCGATTTGCCATTCAACGTGTTAAATAAGTTGGTCGAATTGTTGGTAGCTCTTTGTACGACGATGTCTTTCGTTAGTATCCATTGTTTTGTAATGAAAATAGCGTCTTTTCTAAGCGAATATGGAAATTAATATTAACCCTTATCACTCCAGGTTGCTTCGTAATCTATCAGCAACTGCAACTAATTTTCATAGCATCTATAGTGAAAATGAAAAATGCTATAACATTCCTTTGACCTTTTATTTTCCTTCTCACTACAAAATTTGGATGTGTGGAAAATCGAATAATTTTAGGGTAGTTTCTTTGATTCATTAAAATATCGAATATTACAACTGGTGCAATATTGGAGCCTACAGAGTTCAAAGGGTTAAACTCTGAATTTTATAGTTACTCCGTTGAAGGGAATTGCGAGAGTTTCCACTGAGAAGTATTAAGTTTGTTTATAAATTCTTGATTTTACCGTAGATGTAAGATATATCATTCGTAATTATGTATATTGGGAACTGAGATTCTTAGTTGAATTTTATCACTGTGAAACAATCATCAGGGTAGGGAACAAATAATTCAGACTCGTTTGTAAAATTCTACAGTGAAAATGAGCGGGGTATCGTCGGCGGAATGAAAATCACCGCATGTTTCGCAGGGAGATGATGCCGGCAATGGGGTAGAATCGCGGGACAATTAGTCGGTAAATCATTAACGAACGAATTTCGTGATTCAATGTTGCAGGCGCGGCTGTCTCCGTGTCAGTCAGCCAGACACCCACCCCCGTTTGATGAAGTCAAGGATAACAGGCTACAAATAGGATACGCGACGGCGGGACGGGGTGAGTCGAGCTATTTTTAATTGGTCGACGGTGCACGCTCGTTACGTGCTTCGATTTTATGATAATGCGAGCCCCTCCTCGCTAACGAGGCAACGTTCGACGCCCGATAACCATCCGCGGAGGGGGGGCTGGTTACGCGATGCCCTCGAGAATCGATTCCCCGGACTGGAGGCGTTTCTGCATTGTGCGAATTAATTGCAGTAAGGGTGCATTTACAGCAGAGCTGCGATAGAAGTTAAGAGAGCGTCGATGAGACCGATAAAGTATCCTCCTCTGGTACGTTCCTAGTCGAGCTGTAACAGTCGTCTGGTCTCGATCGTTTAAACTTTTATCAAGACGAATATGTGACGCGACGAGTTATTCTAAAGAAGAATTCATAATGTATTGTATTATTCTTTAACGTTAACTGCCAAGTCGTGTATATATACTGTGGGATTGTAATGAACCAAAGACAAGGCTTAAAATAATTTTGCTTCAATTTTAACTTATAATTAATACTCGCAATACTCTCTCAATAACTTTGTTCTCGCCAACTCGCAATTCTCACAAAATAAGCTCTTTTATAATGTAAAATATACTAATATATTAATCACTCACTCACATTCTCACATACACAGATTTTACGGTTATCGCCCCTAATATCCCGCTCTCGCTCTTATTTTCATTCGCACTCTCTTTCACTCACTCTCTCGGTCAGTCACCTGTCGCTTGTTTATTTTTTGGATGACCGACAGCTGATCGGCAGCCCTAACGACAGCTAGTGTTTGTGTTTCTTTATTCGTTCCTAACTGCAGTTTGGACTTTAACGGCTTAACCTCCTACATTACAATACAATTTTGTATTAAGATTGATCTTTATAGTAACACTGAGAGCATCGAATTCGATAAGAGTGTTTGCCATGCAAAAGTTGAAGTAGTAGTTACAATCATGAAATATCATTAGAATCTTCTCTTCCATAAAATACAAATCCCCGATTTCATAGGATTTTAAGGGATACAGCCAATACATTAACCCTTTGCACTCGGGAGTTTCTTACTATAAATATTTCACATTCTTTGACAAGACGAAGACGATATTCTTTGACACTAACTCACAGAGAAAACACAAGTACAGTGAGGAACAAAGCTATTTTGTTCCAATATTTCATGTATCGGGTCATTGTACAAAGTTAAACATTACACATCAGATTTTATAGTTTTACTGTGTCAAATCGAGTGGTGACTGAGAGTCACCTCCCGAGTGCAAAAGGTTAACTGTGGAATTTAGTTGGAAAAACCTCTGATTCTTCACGCAATAAAATAAAAAAATGCGTAGAGCATATTTTAACACGTTGAACGCCGCACGATTTCATAGAGCAAAATACACAAAATGGGAAAAATATAATATTAAACCATTCGATTGAATCACGTTATTATTATTGCACGCTGAGCTCGCTCAATATCATCGCGTTCGGAAGCATTGTTTATAATACAGAAATGTTGTCAAATAATCGTCGTTTCATTGAAATGAACCAAAGTAATCCGATTTGGTTGGGGGTCATCGGTGACCCCCATGGCGTTTAACGTGCTAATGAAAGATCAAAGCCAAACAAAGAAGAATTACATGCTTATTGAATATCATATTTTCTATCTTTACCGCGTCAAATCGAGTAGTGAGTCGCCTTCCGAGTGCAAAGGGTTAAGAAAACTACCTAGTTGTCTGAACATGTTTTTCTCCAGGTCCTCGGTTTATCCACGCGTTCGAAATATCACTGAAATTAACGATTCCCTTCTATCTTCTAAAAGTCGAGAGCGTCGTTGATGAAATAAGCGAGCGATCAAATTGATAAGAGCGCAATAATGCTGGAAGATTTACTGCCTCAAATCGAGTGGTGACTGAGAGTCACCTCCCGAGTGCAAAGGGTTAATAACTAGCTCTACTCGTCGCGACATAAAAGCACCCGTCAGAAAACAGAAGCTTATATTCCCTCGCTGCCATCGTCGATCGAGTATCATAGCTCCGCTGTAAACATGCCTGAACACGCGAAAGGCTTACCAGGAGCTTCTCCTTTTCCCTCCGGCCTCGGCGCCCGCTTTTGCGAAATTTATTCCCGAATGGTAATTGCGCGGCCATCCTCCCCCTTCCCCTGCCCCTTTACGAGCGCCGCGATGAATGGGCTCGAAGGGCGAAAGAAAGAAGAAGGGAAAAGGGAGGAAGATCGACGACGGCGCGGCCCCAGGATCTTTGCGAGGCGACCCTCGGGGCGTTCTTCTCGAAAATTCACGGTTCACGGGGCCGAAAGGAAGGAAACAGGCGTCGAAAGCGGCCGGGCAAACACAGAAACACCGGCGCCGGAAGCCGCGGCACCGGGAGACCGCGAATTAATTAAGAGGCTGCGAGTTACCGCCGCGGCAAATAAGACGAAACTACCCGGGACTTCCGCCGTCAAAATATTTGGTGCGGATTACTGGATGCCGGATGCCAGCAGGGCCACCATAGTCACCGAGACTCTTTGATAAACCTCCCCCACCCTGTCGCCCTTTGATGCGAAAGAAACTGGGACGAGGCTGTAGTAAGTGGCTAATGATGCTGGAAGAAAGAGTGAGTCATCTGGGAGTGTCTTTCAATTCTGTCTTACGTGAAGTTTCACGGAGAAGCGCGGTATTCCACGGATATGTGGTTCGAGGTTTGTAATAGAGTAAAATAGGAGTAATTAACGGTTTTCCGGTTGATCGGAGGGTGCATAAATCTGTTTTAGATCTGAATGATTGAACTAATAATACTGCAGATCCACCTGAGAAGGTTCGTTGACATTTCACAGATTACGTCGAATTAAGATCGACGTTTGACCGTAGAAATATATTTTTCGATGAATTATATACTCCCGTCGGGAATGTAATTGGAACCGAAAGTTCAATCTGTAATTGGAGCCGAAAGTTCAATTCCAGCGGGGATGGTGAAGAGTTAAGGAATATTGAAACTGAATTGAAGCTGCCGGTCGATAGTCAAAGGTCAGACGAGACTGACAGATTTATCGGATTAACTTTGCTTGAATATTTAGCTTTCAAGCAACTGACGTTAAAATCTATAGAATACAATAATACTAATAACGTAATATTCATTTAATTCCGTCTTCATCCCCTAAATCAGACATTCGAATCCTCTGCCTCTTCAATAGCCAACACTATTCTCCAAATCAAAAATCATTCCCTCGGAACGACTAAATAATTACGCGATTCACAGTTGGCTGATAAAGCGATCATTCGCGACAACCGGTACATTGCCAAGGAACAACAGCGAAGCATCGATACGCCATGATTGATCTCGTCGAGCAGAAACGGCGGGTCGAGCGCCGTTCCGGAAAAATCGAGGCTGCGCCTGCACAAGGGAGAGGAAGAGGAGGAAGACGAAAATAGGAAAGCAGGGAGGACCGCGTCGAACCTAGCCGCGTCTCGAGCACGCTCCGGATGCACGCGGCCGTGTGGCGCACAAATGAAGTCGACGCTTGCCCGCGCGCGCGCGCGCATCCTTTCCAAGTGTCCCCGACGACGTCTGAAAGAGGAGAAATAACGGGGAACAAGGGACAGGCGGATAGGTTGAAGAATGTGCACTCAACGTGATTGGTGCAGCCTCGCTATGCACGCCGGGTAGCGCTGTCTGCATGAAAACTTGAGAATTTCCGGAGGCGCTCGCGTGTACGCACGCACGATCGCAGCTGCGTCTTCCGTGGACCGGCGAACAATGTAGTTAGCCGAGAGAAAATTTCCCGGGGAACGTCGCTCGCACGTGTCGACGACACACGCCCGACTTACCTGGCTGATTTATGATCGGCCTCGCTCTTTTGCTCGCTCGGATTGGCTGATTGATCAGAAATTTACGAGCGGCTCAACTGGTTCGCGCGAACGAAGAATTCAGCTGAAATGTTTGAAACCTTTGGCTCACATTTTCCAGGATCATTCGGGGGATTGTTACAAAAATTTGCTGGATGGTTTGATTGGATACTTCAGTTATATTGTTAATAATATGATAAACGTTAAGGTAATTAATAGTATAGAGATTATTTTTAAATTTCATTAGAATTGAATACTCTTCATTTGGTGTCTTCCCAATTAGCGAAGTATTAAATTTTTAATACCCCGAGGATCGAAAGTTCATCTATATTTTCTCTGCGGTTATTAAATATTTCCCGGTGGTTCTCGAGTTTAGAATTCCATTTCTCTCCGTCGGGGGAAGTTCGCCCACACTACGCTCATCGGTAGTTATTTTTCCAGAATTAATTTCCATGGAGTTGATCTTTGCGCGTCGGGGTGAGGGTCGACTTCTCGCGCAGGGACTTGGCGAATTATTTTTCTTCGACGTTCCGCGGCGCCCCGTCGAGCCGGCGAGTCGTCGGCGAGGAGACACTTCAAACTTAGAATGTAACGACAACACGTTAAAAAAATAGTGCGCCCTCGGTGGGCGTGCCGACGTTGAAGCTCGCGCGGGCAGAGAACGAAGGGGGAAGAGTTGTAACAACTTTTTTCCTCCGCGCAGCAGGAGGCGTAATTATTCCATGAATATTCGAAATTTCACGGAGAACTCGACGAAAAAAAAAGGAAGAAGGAGCGAAAAGAGGAAGAGAGCGGAGGCGGACGGACGCCGCTGAATAATGTAATTACATCAAATAAGAAACGAGTGGATAATGAACGAACGAAACAAATAAGACCAGATCCACGCTGAAAACCACGGAATTTCACTTCGGAATTACATGAACTCCCGGGAATATTCCGGGCCGTGCGCGATTAATGAATTAGAGCCATGTAACCAGCGCGGGCGAGCCGGGATTCGCATCGTTGCTCGGGAAATGAAAAATGTTTTGCATTAACGCGGCCGGAATAATTTCCGCCGTTACGCGATATTAGCGCGATATTTTAATTAACCGAGCGGCCCGTCGCGTCCGCGCCGGATGAAACTTGTAAACCTCGATTAACGATCCTTTAATAATAATGATGCGTTTACGAAGATCTCGCGATCAATTTCGAATGAACACGGCTCATCAATAATCGCAGCGCTCGCCGCGAGCCATTCCGCGTCAAAGATATTCAGCGTTCGACCGAAGTATTTCGAATGAACGCTACAAACTGAATGGATCGACAAAACAAAAGGAACATTCGAGCGACTGGGAAACATTTCATATTAAATATATTTAGTATTCAAGCCAGATGCATCGAATAAATGCAGGACAAAGTCAATAGTTCGACTCATCGAAAGCAGCATCAAAAATGAAAGAAACGTTAATGAAAATAGCATTTTACTTCAAATCCGAATCATCATTTAATAGGACATCCCGTCTCGCTGCCAAATCAGCGAGGGGTTAGTGTAGACCACTGAAGCAGCGGCAGGCAGGCTCAGATTAACAGGGTTGACCCTTGACCCCGGCCAGAGGTTGGAGCCGACGCTGGCGATGTTGACGGCCAGCTCCGCGGGCAGGTTCAATTTGGATCTGGCGTTGACGGTGACCGGGGCGTCGGAAAAGTTGATCAAAAGCACCGCAACGGCCGATCCGAGTCTACGGACGACAGCCAGGACCTTGTCCGTGACCAGGCTCACCTGGAAAGAGCCCACGGCCAAGACAGGCTTCTTCTTCAGCGCGACGAGAGCTTTGAACACTCTATAATGAGAGGTAGCAGCCTGTTTCTGAGCAGCCAGGTTCAACGTCCTGTAATTACTGTGCACCGGTAGCCAAGTAAACAGCCTGTTCGAGAATCCTGCGCTGGTGGTGTTGTCCCATTGGTAAGGAGTCCTCTCCGGGTCCCTGGACTTCAAGAAGTACCTGGCTGGGCCAGCATTGCAGCCCGCTGGGTCCACCGTCTCGTAGTACGTGAAGTTCCTGTCCTCCATCCCTATCTCGTCGCCATTGTACACCACAGAGATGCCAGGCAGCATCATCGACAACATGGTAATCTGATCGGCGCGTCTCCTGCCGAACCTAGTCGCCACGCGATGATTATCATGATTGCCTACCACCCAGTTAGCTACGTTCCTAGGCCCCGGCACGCTGTACAGCCACTTCTCGATCTGGTTCTTAAAATCTGCGGCCGACGACTTGGCATCCAGGTTGCTGATGAACATGAAGTTGAAAGGAACGGAGCCGAAGTTGTAGTACTTTATCGTGAAGTCGTGCGTGGTGTAAGCTTCCGTGATGAGGAACTTCGCGTCGGACTTGGTTCTGTTGGAATAATCGTCCATCAGCTTCCTCCAGCTCCTCAGGGTCTCGTACGTTTCATGCTGATCCCTCGTGTAGATGTGAACCAAGGTGTCGTAGTCATCGGCGGGGAGATCGGTCCTATTCGCCTTGGGCTCGTCCAGGGACCTAACGTCCTCGAACATGTGATTGATGGCGTCGATGCGGAAACCGTCGACTCCACGGTCCATCCAGAATGTCAGCACATTCTTCATCTCCTGGTTCAGCGCCTGGCTGCGGTAATTGAAGTCCGGCTGGCCCGCCGCGAACTGGTGCAGGTAGTACTGCCTCCTGACGTCGCTCCATTCCCAAGCGGAGCCCTGGAAGGTGCTAAGCCAATTGTTCGGCGGACGCCTGGTTCCGTTCACGATCTTAGCGTCCCGCCAGATGTAATACTCGTCGTACGGCTTGATCCTCAGCGCGCTCTTCTTGAACCAGGGGTGCTGGTGCGAGCTATGATTGGGCACGAAGTCCAGCATCACCTTCAGCCCCAGGGACTTCGCTTTGGCCACCAGCCTGTCGAAGTCCCGCAAAGTGCCGTAATCGGGATCAATGTCGGTGAAGTTCGCGATGTCGTAGCCGAAGTCCACCTGCGGGCTCGTGTAGATCGGGGACAGCCAGAGCGCCGTGGCGCCGAGGTCGGCGATGTGCTCCAGTTTGCTGGTGATGCCGTTCAGGTCGCCGATCCCGTCGCCGTTGCTGTCTTTGAAGCTTCTCGGGTAGATCTGATACACCACCGCGTTCCTGTACCATTCCGTGCTCGAGAGCGGAAGGCTGGACGCGAGTCCTAAGAGGCAAGCGATCACTGCTAAGCGCAACATGATGATTATCACTGATCCCTGGGAGACACTGTTCTGCTTTTATAAGAGACAGGGTTAGAAAAATTGGATAATCCAACGAGATCGGGGATTAGGATTACTTCGATCAAATTGTTATTAAAGTGATTACAAACTGTGCAAACAATAAAGTGCACTGTGAAAGCTGCTAAGATAAGCCAGTATCTGCTGGCATTTTCCGTCCTGAGATTAAGGTGTTTATGCTACATTACTTCTCCTGAGTGTTCTTTATCAGTGTTGACCGAGATTTCCCCGGAGTTTTATGGTGAACGCTGTTCGAACGACAATGTCGGTGAATCGTGAACTCGATAACTTGTTTTCGATTTTAGCGGCAAAAACGCTCGACGGTCTTATCTTCGTATGGTCATCAAAACAGTTATTATCTCGTAACAAACAGAATGTTATTATTTATTGATAGCTATCGCTAGTGCATTCGTTGAGAACTTCTTGGAATGGTCAAGGAAGCTTAATTGATTATTTCATAATACTAAAAGAAATGCTTCGCACAATTCTCTTCTGAAAGACTGAAAGTAAATCGATAACAGCAACGTAATCTTCCACTTCGATCTGTCTCCAACGAGGAACGCTGATTACTGTTCAAATGGGCTAGAAACGTCAGCCGTAAATATCGCTAATTTCATAGCGAGGGGTTAATGATCGTATGGGTTCATAGGGGTATTATCAATTGTTCCAGCAATCCAGATCCAACGGTACGCGCGCCGATGGCCAATTGATCTGATTTCACAGTTGGTACAAAGTCTGTATCCACGGATCGCGAGCGGCCAGGTTTATGGGCTCGCGACACACAGCGGTCGAGTTTAATGCACCGCGAGACCTGCTACGTTCGCAACGCCCCCGACGCCCCCCGATAAGACTGCTCGAGGTGCGCGGCCACTTGGGAAATGGTAAACACCTAAACCCGCACGATCTCGCGTGTCCGACGCGTTTATGCGTGCCGCCCTCGTAACTGCTATCGCGGCCATGGCTAATTATACAGCCGGCCGTTGGGACCGTTTCTTGCTTCCTCGGCTGCCGACGCCAATTTAGGGCTGGCGCGAACCTCCGGTCCCGCCATGACGAATAAATTCGCCATTCGTCAAGCGGACAAGCCACTTGACGCGGATAAACGAATTCCTTCGCGTGCGCCGATCGAAGCCGTCGAATATTCTAACAGATGATTGAACTTTTTTTTTATATTTATTTATAGTATCAACACTTGGGTCATTGGCGACTAACAGAGAGTTTACAAGTTAAACAAGAAAAGTATAATATTAAATCATTTGATTGGATTGCATTGTTATTCTTGCAGGTTCATCTAGCTGAATGTCACCACATTAGTTAGCATTATTTATAATATAGAAATGTTTGCGAATAATCATGGTTTAATTGAGTGAACTGTAGTAATTCGATTTGGTTGGGGGTCACCGGTGAAACTTGTCGCACTTTCGCATGACGTGTTCTATCGTTGAAACTTCATTACAAAAATCACATGTAGGCGGATAAAGATTTAACCCTTTGCACTCGAAAGTTTTTCACTTGAAGTAGTCTATGCTTTCTAATTGGATGTAGGAAAGATTCTTTAAAATGAATTTAACAAGAAATCATACATAAATTATGTACAAAGCTATTTTCTTTCGATGTTTCACGTATCGATGCAATATACAAAGGTTAATGGTAAACAGCAAAATTTATAATTTTGCTGTATCAGATCATCTGGCGACTAGAAGTCGCCTCTCGAGTGCAAAGGGTTAAAAGGTGGAAGGAATGGGTAAGTTCGATATAGCCGATTCTGAGCCTGCTAAGAATCACCTGGTCCCTACGAGCTGATTGAATTTGCTCGCAGTTACTACAGCTCCGATTATTTTCAAGTTGATCGTTTTATACTTCTGGGAACGAGTGTTTCAGGTCAGCCAATTTTAACCGAGAATTTAGGTATCCGCTGGTGGCAGTTGGCTAGAGATAACACGAGTAATTAATGCGAAAGTTCCCGATCGAAGCCAGATAAAGTTAAACCGGGGGAATTTGATATTCATCGGGGCGAAGTTCAATGGAACAAAGTGGGGCATCGTTGCGATCCGTGTCCCGGAATTTTCGGATAATTCTTTACTCGATAATGAGATAAGCTGTCGGCAGTTCAAGCGAGAAAGAAACAAGCGGCGAGCTATCGGTCGAGCGCGATCGATTCACGAGAGGAGCCGCGCGACCCGCATCGCTTTTCAGGCCGCGCGCGACGGGATCGGAACGATTCATCAAAGTCCTCGGGCGACAATAACCCCGAAAATTTTCATGAGGGACGATTCGGGGCGAATCGTGCGAAAAGATATCGGGTTGCCCGCGAACCAGCAGCGTCCGTCGGATCCGGACAGGATCGCGTGACGAGGACACGGGAAACTACCGGGAGGGCCCACTTTCGACCGCGGCGAGCCAAAGGAGCGTCCCATTTGTTCCTTCTCTCTTTCCCTCGTTTTTTGTCGAAAATGCTCGAAAAAATATGTTTTTTTACCGCCCGCTATTCCGCGGACGGCGAACGGCGGCCAGCGTAATGGAATACGGACCGGAAATGCGCTCGGGTACGACCAGCGAAACGGTTCTCTCGTTTTTTTTTCATATTTCAATTGCACGCACCGCTCCACGCGCGGAAGTTTCTTTCTCTATGAACAGCGGATGAGCTTCGCGGCCCGGATTCGAGTCGACCAATTTCTCTTTTTCAGAAGAGTCGATCGAGCCAATTGGAAACGATTCGATAGCATCTGGCGCAAAAAAACGTGAAAGAAAAAAGTGGTTAACCGAGTAAGGTATAGTCGTATGATCTACGTTGCTCGTTTGCATAATTCTTATCGATGAGACATCCCCGATATTTTGATATTCCTTTGAAACTGTAATCACCCTTGATCTAGAAATTAGAAAAATCCTTGAGCTGAATCGACGAGAACTTTCGTGTACGCTTGATACTAGGCGATCGGCTGAAACGTCGATGAGGAACGGTAACGCAATTACAATAAATTTCGAACGATAATGGTTAGGCAAGATAAAAAGTAGGTTCTGTTTTGCGAAGCAACACTTGTGCCCGGACCGTCCTGCTCCCTCGGTCGTGATTTACGCCCGAAGATACACAGATATCCAGCGGACGGGCAAAGACTAACATGATACCGGCGGCGCCGCGCGCAGAAACGAGAACAAAGTTTCGCCCCGGGGCATTATTTATGCGCGTAATTTTCTTCTCGGCTTATTGCGAACTGCATTCATTCATTGTTCGCGCCCGCGACGAGGACAATTTCACCGAAACAATGAATTATTCATACTATAAACATTCCCGCCCTCTCTGTTATCGGTCTTCCTCCGGTGTACTTCCGGTTCACGAGCCAGCCACTTTTTTTTGATCGTCGAAAAAGCACGCGGGATATATTTTTCTTCTTTTTTCCTCTGTTACACCGCGACGCAGCCGTGACTAACGAGACATTTTTGTCGCGCGGCGGTAGATGGAAGAAATGAACGGGAATTATTCGCTGGAAGCATCGTTTCGGGCAGAATCGAACGGGATCGCCTGCGTCGCGACGCGGGGACGCGGCTTAAATCGCGGCTGACTCGCGTGATCGCCTACTACTCGCGTTAACTGCTCTATAAAATAACAGCGAGTGCTTATGCAAATCTGTATGCTCGCCGGCGGCCGGGGACATTTGCATTCCATTCGCCGTTCGCTCGGTGAAAAATACAAACGCGTCCGCGCGGGATTTTATTATTAAATTAATACTTCGTTGTATTTCAAATGCAATCTAGCCGCGGGCGCAAACACTCTAGATCCTAGATCACCGGCAGGACTGACCGTCCCCTGTAAAATTTCATTATTGAATTAATACTTCGTTGTGTTTCAAACGCAATCTAGCCTGCCGCCGCGAACGCTGTAGATCGTTAGGGAACAGGATTAATCGCCGCTCTGTAGAATTTTACTGTTAACGTAATACTTCGCGTTGCAAACGCAATCTTGCTGCACAAGCGCGGATCGGAGTCTAGATCGTTAGGGGACACGATTAATTAATCAATCCCACATCCCGCCGTTCGCTCCTTCCACTCTCTTCTCCACGTTTAACAGCGCACTCGCCGAGGCAACAAGATTTCCAAGCGACGCGTCGCGCGGCCAGGAAGCAAAGAACAAACGACCGACCAGGGGAGGCACTAAAGCGAGCAGCAATCTCAATAACAAATCGTTCCTCTCATTGCGGTAGGGTCGCGCGCGCGCGCGCGAGCACGAGTCCGCGCACGAGCAAGCGCGCCTGGGGATGTAGATTAATGCGACGGCGAACTTTTACGATTTCGTTTAGCCCCCGGAAACGACCCGGGGCTAAACAACATCGCCGGTTCACCCTTTCCGCGCGGAATTGCCGGCGTATCCGGTGGGCCGCGAACTCGCTGCGTGTATAATTCCTTCGAATTACAACGGCGTAACCGAATAGCCACCCTTTAAGCTGTAATGCGTCAAACGGAGGGCCACGCGCAGCACACGCGTGTTGCGAGCAGGTTTCCTGTA